ACTAGCATTCTGCTCAACACCAGGAACTCCAAGAACCATCACGACTAGCTGAGGAAGCCACCAGGAGCTCAGTAGTTCAATGGTGTGTGTGTGTATGTGTGTGTGTGTGTGTTTCAAAGGTGTCACAATTCCCACTTAGCAGATGGACAAACAAAGGAGAGCAGATTAAAGCACATCACTGTACAATCCCAGGTAAACTGTTTGGCAGACACAGGATAGGAGCCCGTTCAAGGCTCCCCTGTTCAAGGCCCTTCTTTAGGGATCAGAATGACTCCAGGTCTCAGTATGACAACCAAGCCCTCAGCACTAATAATCCAGGATGAATGTGACCTGGCAGCATACCTGCGGCCAGCACCAGGGAGCAGGCTCAGTACTGGGTGGGAAGGGAAGGCAGGCTGAGTGTCCAGGGCTGGCTAACTCCCCGGCTGAGTGTCCAGGGCTGGCTGATTCCCCAAGGTCCGCTCAGTCCCACTTTGCCCCATCCTTCTCTGATTGGTGCACTGCTGTTCCTGCCCCAAGAGGATGTCTCCTCAGCCTACTCTCCACACAGACTGCGCTTACAGTATACTCTCAATATTCTATTGTCTGTCTTTGTGGATTTTGTAAAGCATTTCACTGGTTTCCTTTGGCTCAGGGGTTTCAGATATGGCCTGTGGCTCAACTACTGTCTGCTGTCTATTTCTTTTTGTCTTGTGAACTGATGATTTTCCCATTTTTATTTTTTTTTTTAAGTCAAATTGGTTTGTGGGACTCCCTGGTGGTAAAAGGGGTTAAGTTGCAGCACAATGAAGCTATTCACAGCCACTGCAGCACGAGTTCAATCACCACCAGGGAGCTACACACACGGCACAGCAGACCTCTCCTGTCTCACCCGCTGCTCCCCTCAGCAGTGTATTTCAGTCAGTCTGCCTGTTCTGTTCCCCACTCTGTCTCTGGTGAATCCTCTCACCCTCCCCCCAGCACCTCTGGCCTGTACCCCAGTTCTTGTATGCATAAATAAAGAAATCTTTAAAAAAATAAAATTGGTTTGTCATTCAACTACATAACTATGTAATTTGGGGAGCACAGCCTCATACCTCCACATGTGCATGAGTTTCACTGACTCCCCACCAAAGCTCAGAGCCAATGCTCTAGTACATTACCCTCAACCCTTCCTCCTACATTTTAAAATGGTTGAAAAAAATCAAAAGAAGAGTAATATTTTATGAATAGTTACATGAAATTGAACTTTCAGTGTCCATAATACTTTTGGCACACAGCCACACCCATTCATTTCTGCTGTTTAAAATGTCACATTCTTACAATGTGCTTACTTTCATAGGGCAGGACTGAGTATTTGTGACATAGATTGTATGACCCACAAAGCTTACAATTTATACTATCTGTCCTTTTACAGAAAAAAAAATTAGAGTTTTAAACCAACCCCTAGTTTTGTGCAAAAGGCAGGCTACTGAATCACCCAGTATACATAAATTGAGGAAGAAAATACAACAAAACAGGGGTCATCTCTGGGTGCTAAGGTTACATGCAATTACTTGACTTTTTTGGTACTAAACATAAAAGTAGAAAAACAGAAGTACTGACATTCGAAAAAGAAAATAGTAAATATTTGCCATCTTACTCCGGGCCAGACACTGGTAGTTAACTACCTAAGAAGGCTTCATGTCTCCTGCCCCACTCTCTGCCCCTATGGTAGGCACCACTGCATCTCTTCTACAGATGAGGGAAGGATGACTTGGGGAATTTATGGCTAGTCAGATGCACTTTGTGTATTTATGGTGGGAACACACTAAAAACCAAAAGGGAACAGGCTATAGTCAGAAAATGGTTTAGGAAGAAGGTTCATTTGAATTCATAGGCGACTAATCCTAACAGGTAGTGAGGAATTAGAGAAGTGCAATCTCAAGAATGTGATATAATGTATTTGGAAGTCCCTGAGACATGCAGGGCATGGTACTAATGGAAGGTGTGTATTCACGACTCGCTAAGGCACAATGTGCTGACTTCTTAAGTTTCCCTATCAAATATTTCTTGAATTAGAAACAATATAAATGTCAAGAACAGAGGACTGGTTGACTAAACTGTGGTGCTTCCACACAAAAGAATACTATGCAACAATTAAGTGCCTGATGGTAATCATATTGTTGCTGCTGCTGTTGGCACTAGGATTGCTCTGTGGTAATGCAGAATAAAGTCAGTGAGAACTGGTGTGAAAAACTGATGCTGTTATCTATGCTGTCTTGAGAACCAGTATTCTCATCATAGAGAAAGTAGGCACAGATATTTATTTTATAAATAACTCATCCTTATTGTTTTGAATTTGAAAAAGAATCAGTATGAACTCATGGTATATTTTTATTATAAACAATAACCACTTATTTCCTACTCTGTCCTCTGTAAAGATCTAGGAGTGAGGAACAATGAGCACCCTGAAGTTTCTAGATTATGGTCTCTATAAAGCATTTCCCACTAAGGGGGACAAAAGCCCATGGAGACATGGCTAGTTCTAGGTCTGCAACAGAGCCTGGAATATCTTAGCTTCCTTGATATTTAGATAATATCAAAGGCTACGAGGGTCATGTCAGAAGGAGCCAACTGGCTAGAGATGCTATCACCCATCAATAAACAATAAACAAAATGAATTAAAACACACCAAATATGTTTAATCCGATGAGCTTACAAACATACTAAAAAAATATTAAAGATCATAATTGTTCACCTTTGGATGAGAATAGTAAACCATACATTATTTGACAACTGGCCAAAAAAGGGGAAAGAGTCAATTACTGCATCTTTCCTATATTCACTGTAATACTAGATAACAAATAGTAGATACATTTAATTATTTATATTTCAGCTAATAAATTAAGAATGATAGAATCAGAACATCACTAATCCTTAATTACTAAAAATGAATCTAAATGATAAACATCTATGACAGCTAAGATCATCAAAAGAGATAGTCAAACATGATGTACCTTCTGATAAAAGTGCACAACACGATCAGTGAAATGGTTTTGCCCCCAAACCCTATAAATTTGATTACATATCTAAACCAGACTATAATTTATAGTAAATACAGATGGTAGAAGAACACATTAAATAGAACCACAGGTCTGCAATCAGAAAAAAATCCACTGTGCGAATCTTTATAGGACAAAGGATATAATTTTTTCATCAAACACTGCAAAAGGAACCTGTTGATTAAAAGGCACTTAAAGGCATAGGCAATCTACTGGAATATGTGGCCCTTATTTGGATTCTGATTTTAAATTAGGTTTCTATAATAGGCATTTATGGAAATACTATAAATTTGAAGTCTTGCCTGAGGTATATTGATAATTTGTTGAAATATGAGAATGGTATTGTGGTCATGCCAGTTTCATGTAGGGATACAAACCTAAGCATTTACAGGTGAAGTGATACAATGTCTTTGATTTGCTTTAAAATAACTCAGTTGTAGTTGGAAAAGTGGGTGTGGACATAGATGATGAACTCAGTCTTATATTAACGATTGCTGAGGTTGGATTACAGTCCCTAAAGATTTGTTTCCACAGGTCTACACATTTCCAGAATACAAGATTAAAATAAATCCTTTCTTATCTTATGTGCAGTGTGATGATACTGGGTTGATGCGTCAAGGTTCTGAGTAGTGGCCTCATGAATGGTTGAACTTTGCACTTCAGATCATTCACCTAGGGAGCTTCTTCATTACCCGGGACTTCTCCATCAATCAGAAAGCTTCTCCATCACTTATGGAGCTTCTCCTCCCACATGGAATTTCTCTATTACCCTCCTCAACAGGTTATGTCAATATGTCCTTTGGAGCATATACATATGCACATACAGACATCTATCCAATAAAAAAAGAGATTTATCATGACTCAAACATTTTGCTTTGATGTTGCAAAGGGTGTGAGGAACTCATGATTTCATAAAGTGAAGACAATGAACTCTACAAACCAAATCCACCTGGCATAGGCATTCAGTGGAGTTCACGACCAGGAGAGAAAAGATAATTATACTGTTGAGGTTGGTGAATGTTTCCATTCTGAAGTTCTGAGCAAATGACAAAGCAATTCGAAATGATGTGGGACACAATGCAATTACTTGCCTAGGAGCCTCTGAGCTTCCCAAGTGCGATAAGAATGTCTATGGGAGGGCGAACTGCCCAATTTTCAACAGGGGACCCCACAGGTGCGAGAAATGAAGGCAGTTGAGGAGATAAGAGCAAAACCTTAAGCCCAGAGGTAGGATGAAGGATGGCAGGAGGAAATGAAACTTAAGGGCCAGGAAGTAAGAAACGGATCTGATGCTTATCTTTGGAAATGGTGGCTCCCAGCCCTCAAGATAAAGTTTACTGTCTGGGGTGGCTTCTGTTTCTTTTGCCATCCGCCCCAGCATCTGGGCTGTCACTGGACCACACAGAGTGAGGGGTGCCTCCTGTGATGATGGCTTCCTCACCTCCTAGAGCTCACACCGTGAGGCACATCTCTGTTGTTCAAACTCCCCCACTAGGTTGTAACCTCCTTAAGGCTTTTGTTTGTTCTTTGTGGCATCTCATCCCATAGTACAGGGCCTGGAATGCAGAGTGCTCCCCAAAGAGCAAAGCACACTGGGGGTCCTGCTGGTGGTATGTGGAGCATGGACGTGACAGTTGGACATGGCCTGGACTCATGGCCCCGTGACACCTCTACCCACTTCGCTGATGTGTTATGACTGACTTATTAATGGAGTTGAGATTTTATAAAACTCTCGAGATTTTTTCTGGAAATGATAACACATATAACTACAAAGTTTATTCCTATGTAATAATGCCACTAATTCCTCCTAGAATTTCATTGCGTGCATATGTGGAATGCTTTCTGCTGATGGCCTTATAAATAATAAAACCTGAAATTCTCACTACATGCAATGCTTCGGACTCATAGTACAGGGTGAGGTGGTGGGATGGGCCAATGAATGGCTTGTAACAGAACCGTCTGAGCAGATAAGCAAACCTGGGCATCTTCGAATGTATATCTTCCTCCATCTTTGACGTTTTGGCTGGTTATCTCATAGCTGTGAGAATCCAGGTTGATTGCACTTGGGGCCCCTGGAGCCAGAAACTCTTGCCAGATTTCTTCCACCCTCTTGGCCACATCCTGGAGGGGTTGTTTTTTGAGATCTTGGACAGCCAACCAGAACCTAAAGTGGAACATACACACAGTCAGTTCCAGGGGGCTCAGTCAAAGAATGGACGCCATTGGATGTGGTCCCCAGGAATGACATCCTGTAAAACTCACACTGTGCCCCCCCCCAGTCTTCCCTGCTATCACTTTGTAGGTTACAAAGACTACTGAAAATGCAAATGGGGCTCCACCATCATGGAGACTTGAAAAGCAGCTCATATCCAAAGATTGCCATATTTCTGGTTACCAGAGTTTTCTCTCTCCATCAGGGTTTCTCAGCCTCAACACTATTGCCAGTTTGGGCTGGGTGATGCTGTTGCAGGGGCTGCCCTGTGCATCATAGGGTGTTGAGCAGCAACTTCTGCTTCTACCCACTTAAAGGCAGTGATGCCCCACCCCCACTATGTGACAACCAAAAACGTGATAGATATTACCCAATGTGCCTGGGAGGCAAAATCACCCCTGGTTAAGAACCACATGGATGCTATGATGCAGTTGGGATCAGTTGGAGGCATTGAAAAAAAAAAATGAAAGATCACAGAAGCAGACAGAATCTGGGAATCACAAAAAAAATTGAGCTGGAGGGATCCAGCTGCTCATGTTCTAGATGGAGAAACTGAGCTGATTCCCAGCGCTTAGCCTATGTAAGGATCTCAATAAACAGCTGTAGGATAGAAGATGGCTCATCTAGAACAAAGCTGAAGAGGCACATAGGGGGATCACTCTGATAAGAAAATCTCTAGGAAGCATCAGGGAGAAAATCTCCATTTCACATCCACATTTGCCTCTTGTGAACCCCTGAGAATCAGCATAGTGGAGGCTGCTGGGAGAGCTGGGTGTGAGTTCTTTGCTGAGAGCAGCAGTGACTAGAGGCAAAGCTTGGACATCTGCTCCCCATGTCCTGAGGATGGTTCCAAGCACCCTAGGGAGGACTTGCAGGAGAATCTAGGTCTGAGTGGTGCACAATTTCCCCATCAATGAGATGTGAGGACAGTCCCCTGGCTATGCGGGTCTCATAGTCATGGCAATCACATGCAGTCAAGTCAATGAAAGGACAAAGACAAGAGAAGTGGAGCCAGGACATGGTGGAAAGTGCATTCAATCTGTCATCGAATTTCACCCAAAGTAAGATGTACTTCTTTTTTTTTTTTTAAAAAAGGTTAAACATGTTTTTCTGTTGCTGTTTAGAGAAATGTCTTTGGAGCCAAGTGCATGGCCCAAACACACCACTCAGTGGCTACATGAGGTAATGCAACTCTTAGTCCACAAGGAGAGAAAGTGTGCGTGCATGCGTGCGTGCGTGTGGGGGGTGTGTGTGTGTGTGTGTGTCTCCAAGTCTCCCTCCGATTTTCCATTTGTGATTCTAATGATCTCCTTAAAGAAAAGCATCATGGCTCCCTCATTGATCCTGAAGAGCAAGAGGCAGAAAGGAAACTTAATAGCCTAATGACTTCACTCAACCGGAAGATCAGAAGTACAGCCCTGTCCTCATCCTGGCAATGCCACCATCTGCATTGTTGTACTCTCTGGCATCTCTACCCTCATCTGCAAAACGCCTACAGAGTGGGGAGATGTGTGACACGAGCCTGAGAAACTTCCTGTGCAGGCTAGACCCTGAAATGCTGCCGGTGCTGAGGGCAGAAGAGTGAAGGGGCTGGCTGGTGTGATGGCTACAGGTTCAACACAGGGCCAGCCCCAACCCCCTGCACCCCATCTCATTCTCCCCGAGGTACCTGGGCAGCAGCTGTCTGTCATCACCCACGCTCAATTCCAGTCCTTTCTTTGTTCCCAGGTGCTCGGTGCACATGTCCTCTGGCTCTCCAGGTAGAAGTACACTGAGTGGGTCCTTCACCAGAGGCCAGAGGGGTGGGCAGGAAGTGCCTGAAAGGAGGTGTTAGCTGGTCCAATTGTTCAGGAGGATCCTTGCAACTTGGCAGGGTCCAAATTCTTCTCCATCTGCCAGGTCTGTCCCTGAGACCTCTCTGCCCCACCCTCCAGGTCCACCGTGCAAGGAAGGAGGTGGCTGGACATGTAAAGGTGAAAATGGCCCACTGGTGCTGACAGTGCCTCTCAGGCCTTCATGTCCTGGAGCACTGTGTTTGGCAGGTGAGATTTAGTAAACCCAGCACCTAAGGAAAAAGCTGATTTTTTCCAAAGCCCTGGAAGGAGCGCTAATGGATAACCCATCAAAGACTGTCAGTGAGTCCTCGCAGGGGGCAGATGGAGGAAGGCCCCATCTCAGGGAGTCGCCTCCGGCTGGGTCCGAGGCTGGAAGCTACTTCCCTGGACCAGTGTCCTTCCCAAGCCCACCAGGGCTGCAGTTTCTCACACAAATGGATGACCCCAGGGGGGACTTCCTGCTCCCTCAATCACTGTCATGTAAGGCTTTGCCCTCTGTCCCTTGCTCCTTGCTCCAGTCTGCTCTGAGGAGGCGCCATGGCGCCCCTCTGGGAAAGCCTGAGGACCCAGCAGTCTGGGGCTCCCTGTGGCTCCTGAGACCACAGGAACCCTTTGGCTGGACGACTGGGGAGCCACATAAATGAACACCGCTCAGCTGGGTATCGAGAGGTCTGCAGCTGATGTAAATGGAAATTTCAGAATCAAATTTAATAAACTTTTACATAAAAAATTAAAAGGTTCCCTTTGTCAGAGAAAACCAAGAATTAAAAAAAAAATACAAAGAGAAACAATGGTGTGCTGGAGGGGACAGGGAGGGAGGAGGGACGGAGGAGGAGGGGGGGCGCCAGTCCCCAGACAGCAGTTTTTCTCTCCTCGCAAGCGCGGGGACCCTCTCTGCCTTCTGTCTGCCTTGGAGATGACCTGCCTTATCCCTCTCAGGTGACAGCAAAAATGCTGTCACAACAGCATCCTGATATCCCATATGTGTTTACCATCACTGGCTTTGAAAAACCTTTGTGTCAATTTGAAATTCAAAACAGGCTTTGGTTTGTGTTTGCCATCTGCGAGCCCACAGGCCTGAGCGGGGAGCTCCGGGCCCGGGCTGCCCAGCCACACGCCCCTCTAAAGAACCACAAAAGCTCCCCTCTGCACATCTACAGCGACGGGGCACTGGTGGGGCTTGAGCAGCTTCTGCTCTTATCAAAAGCCTGCAGGTACTGCTCCTCCTTGAGGACGCCAGCAGGGAGGGGGCCACCAGCAGCAGCGTCAAACCCACCCATCCTGCACTAAGCCTCTGTGCTTGCAGCCGAAAGGCTGTCGTGACTGGCAAGCCGCAAGGACATGCTGGTATCAGGAAGACCACCTGTCCTGCCTCGCCTGAGTTGTCAGAGCCACGAGAGGCAGCCGGCGTGCTGGCATGTGATCCGTGTCAAGGGCTCAGGAATGCAGGCTGAAATGGGCCTTCCGAGAGAAGCGTGCTAGGCCCACACAGCACCAGTCCAGGTGGCTGTGGACGGGACTATGGGCAGTCCAGGGCTGCCCTGGAGGCCTCTCCTCTCTCTCTGCACTGGATGCTGATGGGAAGTGGGTTTTTTCCTCACGGTTGGCTATAACAAAAGGAACCAAGCAAGGTAGTCATTCTGGAGTCTGCCAGGGATCTGGGCAGCGCCCCCACTTTCTAGCTTACCTATCTTTTCATCAAGTAGGATTTTTATGGTTAGGAAAATCGAGTTTTTAATTCACTCCCAGAGCAAAGCAAACTCCATGCAGAAGGAAGGGTTTCTGTGCCCTCTACTGGTCAGCAGAGACACAGGAACGACGGATTCCACTTGACTATCTCTGGTGGGGCTGAGACCCTCTGGTGCCACCATCAGCATCAGCCCCACAGAAGCCGAGTTGTCTCACTGGGCAGTGGCTGAAAGGCTGCAGATTGTCACGGCAGGGTACGAGTCACCTCAGTTCAGATTAATCATGTGTTTGGTTAGCGGTAAATCCTGCCGGGCCTAGTGAACCTTCCGAGGTCTCCCTAGGACTCAGGGCAACTGTCGGAGATGGGAGCTCTCCAGGCGAACCTGGCAGCTCCCCTGCGCTCTCTTTAATTGCTTCTCTCTTCAGCTGACACTGTGTGGAACTAGGATAATCAATCTGCAGGTTAGAAGAACAACCACGTTCTCTCAGGAGACGTTACAGCTCATAAAAAATGTACGGGGGACGCTCTTTGCTGCAGGTTTTGATTTTTAACTCGTGCCCTGCCACGTGGCAGAGGATGCTGAGCCAGGAAGGACAAAGGTGGTAGCCGGGAAATGAAGAGGGGGCAAAGTTGGCAAGGAGTTCCTGTCACCATTCAGGAGAACACAGTGAGGAGGCCCGATTACTTGCTGGCGCTCCCTGCTTCGGAACTGAGAACTCCCCACCTATGGATGAGAGACCACATACACCCCCAAGGCCTCAAGCAAACAGTCTCCAAGGGCCCACGTAGCCAAGTGGAAACCTGGGCCCAGCTCAGGGTGCCACAGGGAGCATACAATCACGCGGCCGGGTGTCTGAAGCAAAGGGGGCTGGTCATGCCTCTGCCAGGGCCTGGAGGGAATGTATCTCCCTCATCTCCAAGCTCACCCAGAAGAAACTGATCAAAGGAGGCTTCAACTTACATAATATGACCACAGGTATCCTTCCATAAAGAATCCAGGGGGCACTTTGCAGTTGTGGAAGAAATACCCACATCTCTTCTGTTCTGAAGCTCCGTATAAATTCAACTGCTTGGCTACTTCACTGGCAAATTTTTCAGGGTGCTGTGCAAAAGTGTTCCAATCTCACTATCCCTTTCAGGGAGATGCGTGGAGCACAGGAGATGGAAGGGGAGAGGCCCTTGGCAATGCATCTCTTCTGACCATCCTCTTTCTCTTTTCTGCCCATGCTCCAGTGCCAATTGCCTGTGCTCTAGATCACTTCTGGGCAGAAGGGACAACCCCAGGGTGGCCAATGCAGCAGATGGGCCCCAGTTTGCAGCTCCCAGGAGCTGCCCCCACATGGAACACAGTACAGGTGACTCTGTACTGCCTACATGGTTGCCCTTGGTAAGGGTAAAAAAACGTTCTGCTCTGAATCCTTGGTACTGGGTCAGGGAAGGGGCTAAAACGATAGCTGTGGCTGAAGGAATGAACACAAAGGGAAAGGGAAGAAACCTGGTTGTGGGTGACTGAAGAATCCTAAAGTTATATGATTTAAAACTGAGCTTCTCCCCATATATCCAATTATGCTGAATATCATAAAAGTAGAATTTGGGCCTCCAGAGAGGATTTTAAAAGCTCTTGGGCTATACGTTTTATCTCTGGCTGTTCTATTTTCTTTATCCTCTCTCCTGTCATGGATCAGAGGGGACCCTCTTTAAGTCTGGGTTTATGCATTCATGCTGGGGGTGTAGATTAGTCCCCGCTCACTCACACGTGCTCACACACGCTCCTTCCCCCAAGACTGAATGTGGTCCTCCTGTCTCGGGAGGAAGGCGCTGGCATAGGCACAAGAGGTGATGACAGGACTAGCTCTGAGCCCCCGCCAGACACCCACTCCTCTGGCTCTCAGGCCTTGATGGTGAAGCACATGTGTGAGACGAGCCTGAACCCCAAGTGCTCTGGCTGCGCTTAGGTGGCAGGGCTGAGCCAGCAGGTGGTCCTTCTCCTGGGCTCCTTCTAAGGACCAGCATCCTGGGGTCATTCTTCAAGTGTCGTCCCAGTGCAGATGGCAGAGGCCATGTGATTACTCACAAACTGAGAAATAGTTGGGCAGAGGGGGCCTCTATACCACCTCATCATGGAGACCCACAGGGACCAAAGATGAAGAGAGATGGGAAGGAACCCTGGAGGTGGACTGAAGGCTGAGCTGGCCATACAGAGAGGTGACCTGGGGCATCATGCTGGCCCCGGGACCCACCTCCAGGCAGTTTTAGAAGCTGTCTGAATACCACCCTAACGAGGAGGGTTAAAAGTCAAGCCTATGGGCCTCCCCTGGTGGTGCAGGCGGTTGAGTGCTGCGCTGTGAGACTGTCTGCAGCCTCTGCAGTGCTGGTTCGATCCCGGCTGGCTGGCGAGGGTCCCACATGGCGTGGCAGACCTCTCCTGTCTCGCCTGCTGCTCCCCTCAGCAGTGTGTTTCAGTCAGTCTGCCTGTTCTGTTCCCCACTCTGTCTCTGGTGAATCCTTTCACCCTCCCATGAATCTGGCCTGTACCCCGGTTCTTGTATAAATAAATAAATAATTTTTTTTTTTTTTTTTTTTTTTTAAAGTCAAACCTCTGTCACAAATACCTGGTTAGGAATGGAAACAAAACTCAGATATTTCAGCACAAGGAAAGAACCCTTGTGTCAAAGCTCATCTGGTTTACACCAGGCATGTAGCTACCTCAAGAGGCATCTCTGCACACGTTCATGGCATCTACATGTCTCCCCCAGGACATCACGGTGTGGGAGAGTCCCCCTGCCCCACCTTTGCTCCAAGGACCTTTCAGTTCCTATGGGCTCCCTTCCTCTTTTTCATCTATTGGTGTCCTGTGTATTTTTCCAGGTATAGTTTATGGTTTGCCTACTCTGGCTTATATTCTTCCCTGCCTTTTAAAAATCTTTCCAGGGCCTCCCGGGTGGCACAGTGGTTAAAGTCTCAGCACTATCAAGCCAGCCACTGCAGCATGAGTTTGATCCCCGGCCAGGGAGCTGACCTATGTGGCACAGCAGACCTCTCTTGTCATGCCCGCTGCTCCCCTCAGCAGTGTATTTCATTAGATCTGCCTGCTTTGCTCCCCACTCTGTCTCTGGTGAATCCTCTCACCCCTGCACCTCTGGCCTATACCCCAGTTCTTGTATCCATAAATAAATGAAAATAAATCTTTAACAATAAATAAATAAAAACTTTCCATATGTTTTTTGGAGTTTATACTTGTTTCTACTCAATTAATGATTTAATAGTTTCTTCCTCAAGGACCTACAAGGTCATTGCAGGTGGAGATCCCGAATCTTGATTTTCCTGCATCCCTCAGCAGATTCTTGATACAGCATAGGTGTGTAATAAATATCACTTGATTGATGTGTGGGACTGATAGGGTCTCTAATGCCCAATAAATAAAATGGATTTCGCACATTAACACCGTAACAAACAGTTTTTCACCTGCTGTATATGCTCTGACTTTTTAAAGTTAAAAATTATTTTTAAAAAGTTAATAATGCCACTCTTTGAAAAAAAGGCCATTAGAAGACAGGAGTCAACCTCATATATGAAAGAGAAGCTTGTGCCAACAAGAAAACACTGAGATTTCCATCCGAGCCACCAAGAAGTCACCAGTTTGCTAAGATTACTAAAGGGGCTTAGATGAGTGGTAAGTTTTCCCTGGGTCTCTGTGTTCCATGCAAAATACCATGAGGGTCTCCCAAGAAGCCCAAGGACCCCCTCCTTGTAACCAGTATCTTCCCTTTTCTTCCTCCTCACAATGGGCCCTGTGTTTTGAAAGTTGTATTTTTTTCTTTAAGTAATAGCATTCATATGTTAATACATTTCCCTGATCCTGATTAGTCAGAGACCAATAGGAACAATCAGTTGTTCTCACTGGCATCAGCAACCAGATTAACTGCTATGTAGACGGATGGACTTCCCGCTAAAGGAAAAGCTTGATTTAATTCACTTTCACAGTTATGCCTCCATTAATTGAATGCTGTTTAGTTTGGCTTTTTGAAATTCTGAAGTGGAGCCCAAGTCTCCTCTTTCCTTCTATTTAGCTTGCTGAGTCTGTAGGACTCCAGGCTGGGGGCGATTTGATGGAGAGGGTCTCTTGGTTGCCTCTTCCACTCGGAAGCTCCATGGTTCTATGGTTTCAGCTAAAGATTGGTGTGATCCAATCCACTTGACCATTTTCTTATCATTGAAGGCATGTCTTCAATAACTTGAAAATTGTCATCTGGACTGAAAGAACTAAAAACGCTGGTGTTGGGAGAGCTAACATATGATGACAAAGCTCCCTACAAAGTGTCTCCTCCATTTTGGCCTTAGCCAGATTAGCTGAAATTTGAATATAATATTCAAAATATATAATATAATATTTACCTGAGGTTTTCTGAGCTGAATTCGGACTCCAGGAATCGTAGGAATTGGTCCCGTCCCACCTGGTCCTTCAGTATCTCATCAAAGGAGAAGCCCCATCTCTTCACTCGCTGCTGGCTGGGCTCCTTGCTTTTGGAGGAAACAAAAAAGGTTAAAAATGACCAATACCAGGGAAAAACTGTGTCACAGTCTTGAATGTTGTAAATCTATTTTGCTGCCATACAACAATGGGAAAATCTCATATTTAAGCAATAGATTCTATAAAACCTATGCAAACTCCAAAGTCTTTTGTATGCCAACAGTAACCAACAAAACAATAAAAAATATCCTTAAAAAGGACAACAGGATGCTCATTGAGTGGCTGCAGGACAGACAACCACCTCACTGATCTGGCGTCCCGGGACCATTCCCATTATTTATAAGCCCAACTGTTGGCTTCATCACTTTTCCACCATTTTAAAAAATATAAATGAGGATGTCTTGTGAATGCAGCCTTTTGTTAATATTTCCCACCCTCCATCTGTTCCTCAATGCACAGGGGAGAAAGGAATCCCGTGTATAGACACCAGGTCAGAGTGCATCCGCGCCTCTAGGCAGGCCTCCGCGCTGTCTAGGACAGAGGGGTGTCTCCACTTATTGATTCCACCTGCATGTGCTCACACAGCTCTAGACATGTTCCCAGCATTTACATGTGTTAACTCTCTGGGGCTTCACAACTATTCTGGGGAAAACAGTACTAACATGATTGCCATTTTATAGATTGAGAAACCAAGACAGAATGATCATTTGTCCAGGGACTAGAAAGTGATGGAATAAATTTATTTAAATAAATTTGAACTAAAGTTTAAGTTTAAATTTAAATTTTTTTTAAAGATTTATTTATTTATTTATATAAGCACTGGGTACAGTCAGAAGCACGGGAGGGAGAGAGAATTCACCAGAGCCAGAGCAGGGAGAAGAACAGGCAGAAGGACCGAAGTACACTGCTGAGGGGAGCAGCGGGCGGCAGGAGAGGTCTGCCCGCCATGTGGGACCCTCGCTGGTGGCCGGGGATTGAACCGGTGCTGCAGAGGCTGCGGGCAGCTTCGCAGCCCAGCGCTCAACCGCTGCGCCACCGGGGAGGCCCCTAAATTTAAATTTTAACTGAGGGGAAGATGCAAGGGCATGGGGAGGGAAGAGGCCTGATGGGACATGGTGGAGGGATGTGTGGGTTTTGGCAGGCTATGAAAGTAGACATTTGTAGAGGTTTGAACCTATAATCTATAGCAGATACAAAGATGTAAACCTACTTTAACTTAATAAACATAATTAGGAAAACATTTATTCATTAATTAAAAAATTTAATTTAATGTTTAAATTTTACATTTAAATGGCCATATTGGTTGGTGGCTACTGTATTGGAAAGCACAGTTCTGGACTTAAGCAATTCAAGTGCAGCCCTTCTATTTCTGCATGGCTAGTTGTGCTCAGCAGCAGCAGGATCTTCCAATTTTGAGGTTGTGTCCTTGGGGGCTCAGGGAGGTTCTTGTGCATGCTCCATGCCTCCAGGCTTGGCCCAATAGGGTCACAGGAGGTAGAGCAAGACCATCAGGCCAAACGATGGAGAATTCTGGGAAAGATCTCTTCCAACACACCAGCCTGGACCTTTTACAATGAGACAGGAAGACAAATACTGGATTCTCTCAAACTCAAGCCACAGAACCAGTCAAACTTGATACTTTTCTATTGGACAAAAAGCAGTGTTTCAGAGAAACAGGCGCGGGGTTGAGGCCAGCAGCAAACGTAAGCCCTGGAGAGCAGCAGGATGCTGTCTCGTTCTGCCAGGGTCTTGCTGTGACCTGGAATGGGTTCAATCATCTGCTCTTTGCCAGTCAAGGTGGCAGGCTATGCAGGGATGGTGCTGATGGCAGGTGCACCCCAATCAAAGGCTGTACCCAGAGGACCAGATGTGTTAAGTTGCTCAGTCTTTGCAGCAGCTGCCTTGGGGTACATGCCCACCACCAGTGTCACCCACTTTCTGGTACTCAAGCAGTGAGTCCACATTCATCCTGTCAGTTTCCTCGGTGGTCTCAGGGGTGAGACAAGGGAGAGGGGCCATTTTGGGGGGCAGTGGGACAGAAAGCTTGAGGTATCACTTTAGGACAGACAGCTACAGGTCACCCTCTCTTCAGCAAGATGAGGAGGAAACCCTGTTGTAGTTTTCTAGGGAGACTATCATAACTACCAAAAAACTGGTGACTTAAAATGGTGGATGTTTATTCTCTCACAGTTCTGGAGAGTTAGTCTGAAGTCTCTGAAGGTTCAAGGGGAGCATCTACACCTGCCTTTCTCTAAGCTTCTGATGTTGTCAGCAACCCTGGGCATTCCTTGGCCTGTGGACACATCACTCCAATCTGCCTCTGTGGTCACATGATCATCTCCCCATGTATCTGTGTCTATACATGGCATAGACCCTGTGTCTCTGCTGTCTCATGAACATGACAATCATGGTGACAAGGAGCCCACTCTACTCCAGCACAACTGCATCTGTAACAGTCTTGTTTCCAAGTAAAGTCACATTCTGAGATTCCAGGAAGGACATGCATTTTGGGGGTGACACCCTTCAACCTAGCACATTTGTGTTCTCTTGACTATCCATCATTCATAATCATATTTCTATTACTGAATGCTCCACATCTGCCCCTTTTTCCTCCGAGGACATCTGTCCCTCAAGATCTATTCTATTAAAAGGTCCTTGGCTATAACTCCTTTATATGCATCTTTCCTGTATCACTTAGGTGTTTCCAAGCATCATTCCCTATATGTTTTAATATCAGATTTGAACATGCTACTACTGCTGAATAGTCTCTGTGGTTCTGAAATAATTCTGAAAATTAAGATCTCTGGACACTCTCCCCCAGGTGATAGGTACAGCGGCTCTCTCTTGGCCAGGCTCAATCAGTCTATCCATGGAATTTATTACTATCCATTGTGTAGAAATGTTTCCTTGTGATATGTATATTTTTTACTATTGCTTTGTATCATCATTTAGCTTCTTAAAGGCTATGTCATTGTCTCCCCCACTATCTTGTGAACTCCTTCAGTCGGAGTCCATGTCTCATGTCTTTGTATTCACCACACTGTTTTTCACATAGAAAATGTTCAACATCAAGAGGAAATCAATAAAAAAGTGTGTATGGAGATGTAGGTGATGTGAGTTATCTAGCATTTTCTAACACTAGCAGGATGCCTTTTCCTAACTCTTACTTGTCTTCTCTACCCATTGAGTCTCACTAAATTCTTACTTTCCCCTGGGAAGTTCAAACCAACACCTAGCAAGGACAGATGGTTCTCCAAGGAAGTCATCATTCATTCCAACTGACCTTCCAATCAAAAGAACGTGGGGGAATTTCCCTAAGTGAAGGCAAGAAAGCCATATTCAGAGGAAGCAAGTACCTATAAAACACTCATTTCTGTAGGGGCCACACAATGTCAGGCATGGTGCAAGGAGCCTCCCTTACAGTAAGTAGCTCATTTGAGTCTCAACATCAGTGAGAGAGGTGGAGGTTTATATTTAAATTTCCAGAGTTCAAAGGACTCATCAGATTGCCCAAAGCCACACAGCTGGCAGTTGTGTGAATTAGAAGCAGGGTCTGCCTGTCTTCAAAGCTGATTCTTTTATTCCACTTCAAATATCTTTCCTTTTGTTGTATTTCCCTGATTTATTATCTAAACCAATACTGGGGGAAAGATACCAGCTAGCTTAGAAAGGTTTTTGATTTATTGCAAAAATTATGAAACAAAGGACAGTTCTTCAAGAGTAGGAATGTCCAGTGACCCCTTCCCATGGCCAAAGCTACTGACAGAACCATCACAATTTTATTTAATGCTTCAAGAACAATCTAAGGGTCCTAAATACACCAAGGGCGGGGGGGGGGTAGGCCCATTATTTATTGCTGTGTAACATTATCTCAGTGTTATCTATCTCACAGATATCACAGATATCTAACACTATCTCACAGTTATCTCAGTGGCATGAAAGAGCAATTTGCTATTTTCATACCAAGGTATCCTCTCTTACTATTCCACTGGCCTTGGCTGAGTGCTTCTCATTTGGGGGCTTTCAAATATCTGTAGTCAGAGGCTGGAGGTGGGGTCATCTAAAGGCTTGACTGGGGTGCGCATCCAGGGGGGCTCATCCAATGCAGTGGATGCTGCTGATTGGCCAGGAGCTCAGCTGAGACTGTCGACCTTGTGGTTCTCCAGTGGCTTGGGCTTCACACAGCATGGCTGGTGGGTTCCAAGAAGGAAAATCTCAGGAGCAATTGTTTCAAATAACCAAGGGAGAAGCCTCAGGGCTGCTCTATCACCTGTTCTCTAACATTATTTCTACCATATTCCATTGGTCAAATGAGGCACCGAGGCCAGTCCAGATGAAAAGGGAGAGGTGGGTCTCTGATGTGAAAAGTTGCCCATGCAGACAAAAAGGGAAGGCACGGAGGGGGCCGTATTTAGAATCTGACTACCACTGGGAAGGAGCGTGACTAATATCCTGGATTAATAGTTCTATCAAACTTGCTGAGCATGGACAGTCTGCCTCTGGCAGGTCGGGCTGGCAGGATGCCAGAGGATGCCTGTGGTCCAGCAGGATGAGTCAGGTTCCTTGTAGCTCTTTGCTCATTTGCCACACCCAGCGGAGAGAGGAATCTAACCCTAAATCTTGTGGTGAGAGCAAATGATGAGCCACAGTTCTGCTGGCAAGGCCAGGTTTTTGTTTGATCGACTGTCTGGTTAACGGCAATAACAGAACACTCTCCAGTAGCTCCTGAGACACCCTCCTGGCAGTGTCTAGACTACAGCATTCTCTCCAACTGTGATCTGGCAACTTTTGGCTGTATTTTTCCCTCAATGGGGAGCCCTTGCTTTCACTAGTTTCTTTAACTTAACTTTACTTCTCAGAATTTTTAAGGGCAGTCTTTTTACCCTCTGAATAAAAACATTCATTTCTAGACTTCATAGTTGGAGAATGAGAGATGATTAAAGTGGAACGTTTTATTATTTATGCAACATCCTGTATCATCTTCCCAGTGATTCTGTTAAACCCTGTGCTGTCTCCCCAGGGCTGCCTATGGTCAACATACGGCAGAAAC